CTGTGACACCCCCACTGAACACCTGCAATAGGTGTAGAAGGGGCCAGCATCATGCTGCACTGTGCAAATTAGTTAGGACTAATTATGTCAATCCTAGAATAGGACGTAGATAATCTACACCAGTACAGTGCTGCAAGATGCGAGATGTGTACAGCGTAACTTCACAAGTATCTCAAGTGGATGCTGCTTTGCCTACTGCCCAACTTCAAGTGAAGAACAGAGGTGCCAAGATCACCATACGTGGACTATTTGATCAAGGTTCCCAGAGAACTTTCATTACTCAAAGGGCAGCAGAGGCACTTAATTTACAACCAATAGGACAGGTAAAATTAAACTTGTCAGGGTCCATGATAAATCGAGGAACCCATGAATACTCAGTAGTTCAACCGCTTGTACGACTAGGTAGTCATGCCAAGGCTGTCCAAGCCATTGTTGTAGATCAAATACCTTTAGACTTAAATATTAAGGGTCTGGGGTGCACAGCCCACTTCCTGCAGGAACGTGAAATTAATTTGGCTGACAACAAGTTAAAGTCTGACCGCCTTAACAATGTAGATGTACTAGTAGGAGCCGACTACTATTACCAGTTCATAACTGGACATGTTAAACGATTGGGAATGAATATGCTCCAATCTGCAGGAGGCTACTTACTTACTGGTAAAGTTCTGAATGTGAACAAGCCTAAACCTGCCAACAATAATAAATTAGTCAGCAGTAAATCAATTCTCCAGCAGCAAGCTAAAAGGAGAAACACAGCTGAGTAATAAACTCAGATTGAATGTAGTGCAATTGATACTCGCCGAGATGTTTCATAGCTCTCAGTGAAAACCAATGGTCCGTACTCAAACAAGTACAAGTCACAGCGACCAAGCCATTGAATTCACTGCAGACCTAGAATTATTCTCGACAAGTAGTAATTGACCACACTCAGTTTTCCTAGTTAAATTGTAATGTTGGGGTAGAGAATCTAGTACTCCCTAGGTAATTAATAATGTTAGGCTAGAGAATCTAGCACTCAATGCCACTGGCATTTCCTGAATTTAGTAATAAATTCACTAGGACCACTGGTCCACTATACTTGCGCTTAAAGGTTTGCCAAGAAAACCTTCTTAATACCATGTTTTCTGCACTAAGAGTTACTGATAAATACTTGCATTAATTGTTTGAGTTGTTTTTTCTTTCGTTTCTGCTTATTTAGTGTAGGAGCGCAGCACGAACAAACTTGCAAACTTACTAATATGTAAGTGAATTTACAGAGAACTAATATGTTTAATGCATTATCGTTAAACATTAGCATTGTTAATTAACATGCTTCCTGAGCTTAATATAGCTCCCCCTTAGAATTAACGTAATAATATGAGTGCTTGTTCCCCATGCGTACGAGCTTAATATTGCTCGCCATGATAATTGAATGATGCAAAACTCCACCTCGTTAATTCGAGTTCACTGAACTCACCCTGTTAACTGTTAACGAGCTCACTGCAGCTCACCCTGTTAGCACTGCTAACGAGCTCACTGTAGCTCACCCTGTCAACACTGTTGACGAGTTCACTGTAACTCACCCTGTTAGCACTGCTAACGAGCTCACTGTAGCTCACCCTGTCAACACTGTTGACGAGTTCACTGTAACTCACCCTGTTAGCACTGCTAACGAGCTCACCCTGTCAACACTGTTGACGAGTTCACTGTAACTCACCCTGTTAGCACTGCTAACGAGCTCACTGCAGCTCACCCTGTCAACACTGTTGACGAGTTCACTGTAACTCACCCTGTTAGCACTGCTAACGAGCTCACTGCAGCTCACCCTGTCAACACTGTTGACGAGTTCACTGTAACTCACCCTGTTAGCACTGCTAACGAGCTCACTGCAGCTCACCCTGTCAACACTGTTGACGAGCTCACTGTAGCTCACCATGTTAACGAGCTCACTGCAGCTCACCCTGTCAACACTGTTGACGAGCTCACTGTAGCTCACCATGTTCACGAGTTCAATATAGCTCGACTTGTTAATGAGCTCAATACTGCTCACAATGTTAATTCGAGTACATTTTTGCTCACAATTAGCTTAGTCACTTACTTAGGTAGGTTTAGGGACTTTAGTTAGTGTCAACTGAGTACTAGCCTAGTCTGTACTCACCATTAATTACAGTTGACTATACTTATAGGGACTGATTTAATAAACTCAAATTCATGTAAAGGTGATTTCGTACTAACCAGTTTACAGTGTCAAGCCTATGAGCTGCCATTTAATTAGCTCATAAGTCAGAATGACTAGGCTACTAATCTCACTGTCGACTCAGAATTTTCCTTGATTTTAATGAATAAACTTTTCAGTTCTCTACTTTTCTATTATTTTAGCTAGTTAGCAAATTAATTGTACCATCAGTCAGAATGACTACTGCACGGCAGTGCACATTAAATTCAATTTCCTCATTTGAATTTGAGGTGATCATGATGCTGTGTGATGTTATTGTCTAGTAACTCAATAGTTACAAGTCACAGCGACCCTAGACAGTCACCTTACTGTAGTGTCATAATCTCCTTGATCTTAAATGACTAATAATACTTTACTGCATAATCATACAATAGTGTTATCAGTTCTTAGGAACTTATTCTGAGTTTACCTACGATTCAGCAGCTACGTAATACACCATTACATGTCACTGCGACTCTAGTTGTTGAGTTTATTGTGAGCTTTAGAGTGTTCCTGATTACCGATAACTTAATCATTTAATGTTTCAATATTTCATGCATGTTTCCACTAGGGAAACTGCAAGCCTATTACAACTCTGATCAAGAGTAATTTCTTTCACATCCCACTGAGAAAACTATGATGATGCTACGATGTGATATCATGTAACAAAACATTACACGTCACTATGACCCAGGATATCGCATCACTGTAGATTCTGTTGGTTTAAATTGTGTGAGTTAAAATCTATAGATATTGTGTAGGCTATAAGCAACATGTTTCATTTGACATGTAAATAGCAAGACTCAAGTTCTTGTAAGTCCTTGATAAATCCGGGACGTTCGTTATGTGTGTACTAACATACTAATATATTAACATAGTAATGTACTAATCTTAATATCACTTCGGGATAGGTCAGTACAACACAGTACACTACGACCCTAGAATCCTCCCCCCGGAGTTATGTTGGATATTTCCAACACCGAATACAACACTGTTATATTCTCATTACTTATTACTAACTATACTAATTATTGTAGTAAGTAAAATTAACAACACGTAGAATTCTCATGTACTAATAATTCCATCTGTACAGTAGGCTAGAATTCTCACGTAACCCGACGCCAGTATTGCGTCAGATTTCCTTACAGTAAACACATTATATCCAATGTATGTGAGAATTAAATTCGATTCTCTATAACTAAGGCATTCTGTATGATAACTAATTGCAGATGAATTGACCTCCAACTAAAAGCCGAATAGAGCGTTGGAGTCATAGCGTTTATCTCGTAATAAAGCTAACGTCACCACTGAATGCCATGGGGAGATATTAATTCCTCTCCCTTATATATTTACTATTCTTAAAGTGGTAAATAATAATAATTTCCTCCTCTAAATAATAAACCCGTCCAGTCTTCAACGTTTCAAGCGTAAATGCGAGAAATATTAATGTTCGTGACATAATTTGTTTTATGAACGCGCGACGCGGCGTGGGTTTGAGGAGGATCAACTCAGTACACATGCAGAGCCGCTCAGAAGCAGACCTGCGCATACCGTACTCACAAGGAGACGCCATTGCCCAGCCACTAGGGCAGACGTTATCCATCCTCAGATGAAAGTCGCCACTGTGAGGCGTGAATAACCTTGCAGATAATATCTTCAGCTAGTGCTGGTGTCAAATAAGGAGCCTTTTAACCTAGTTCTTGACGACACGTGACCAGCCAGCGAAGCGCGCCACTATCCAGGATAGGCCTAGCCGGAGCCTGGGGACGCGAAGCACGGCAATCTTAAAACTTATACAGTGCCCCACAGCTAAGTATATTCCTTTATGTGATGCATCGGGTAAAGAGTTTAGTAGTAGCTGGGTGATTGACCGTTATGACGCACGATAACATCTAATAACAGGTGATTAAATTTTGTCACCTGTAACTCTCAATTTCTTGAATATATAGATTCAGTAGTTAAATTAGTTGCTACTGTAAATATTTGTCTTGCAGTACGAGAGAAGAATTCTCCATGCCGCCTTCTCCCATGTTAATCCGTCTCATTCGTCAGCCGACCGAGTCAAGAGAATAAGAGGAACTTCCATGGCTTGTCTAAAGGAATCGTCATTAAGCTAAGATTTATTTTCTTTCATGATTCTATTGCAATTTCTTATGTGCAGAATTCCTCAGGATTAATATGTGGTTTACTGTAACTCTCATTACTATACTCATAATCTATGTTCCCATTTATGGTAATGATATCAGTTTCAATATAATTTTTATAGGATTAGATTATTATTAATTGAATTAGTGAACGAACCACACTAATTCCTGGACGTACTTACCTCCAGTAATAACCCCCCAATGTAGGTGCTTGAGGGTTTGATTCATTTAATTATACAGCCCATTAATTTTTTCTATGATCATATTTTCTAGTAATTTTATCCATAGTTACTGGTTTCATCTAGGAATTATCTAATGATCAGATATTTTCAGTTTCCCTCTTTACTATAAAAGCGGGTGGTCCTTCGTAATTTAATTTACTACATTAATATTTAAATAATCAGATTCAAGCCCCAAATATCCCACAACTTTACCAACGGCTTCTGTTAATTTTTGTGTTACGACAAATAAGGACCGAGAAAATCTAGGAATCTAGGCCGTATGAAACACTTTTCCTCAATTCCCTCAAATTTTTACTTTAGTGTTGTGGAAGGAAAATTATAACCCCTATCACATATCTCTGAAACATTCTTGACCACATAATTGCTTACCGGTCGACCCTTCAAAAGAGATCAATAACTCACTGGTTGTGGTCATTACAGACGAGATGGGTGAGTATTTCTGGGACCTGGAGCAACTGATCGAGACGACATACGCGAGCACGGAGCAGAAGGTGGTGCTGGTGGCCCACAGCATGGGGGCGCCCTTGATCCACTACTTCCTCAACCACAAGTCTCAACACTGGAAGTACAAGCACATTGAAGCGCTGGTCACCCTCGCTGGTACTTGGGGGCGCTCTGTCAAGGCCGTGAATGTATATGCTACAGGTTGTCAATTATTCACTCTATATTATTAAACAATTTTGTGTTATTCGTCGTTGCTACATAGCCTTCCCGGCTTGGTGCCGCCTTTTGATAATTACTTACTTTTACACGTCGTTAGTCACTGTGAAGTTTGCAAGCTCTAACTGCACTTTTGTGTACAGTTATCTATAACAATGAAGATATTTGATACTGTACAGAACTGTCTCTCCAGACTCCCATTTACAAGGTTTTTGAACTGAAATGACAGTATTATTATACCACTATTATTATTACATCAAGAAATCATGTTAACGTAATCTATCAATGAGGAAATCAGTAGAAACCATGAGGAGGATTCGAACCTGCACGCTGGGAACTCCCAAGCACACGCTTTAGACCACTACACCACCACATGGACAAAAATAAAGCATCATCACGGTATCTTCCTGTACCGTGTTTATACAGGAAGATAGCTGGGCATGTGGTGTACCGTGCTTGTACAGGAAGATAGCTTGACACATGGTGTTCCGTCCTGGTACAGGAATATAGCTGGGCATGTGGTGTACCGTGCTTGTACAGGAAGATAGCTTGACACATGATGTACCGTCCTGGTACAAGACGAGATACTCGTTGTGTACTGTGCTGGTAGATAAATTGAGATCTCTAGAAAGTAGATATATGATAGAATAAATAAACTGTAGAATATGCTAAAACACCTTTCTATGTTTTATTTTGCAGGAGACAACTTGGGAATACCTTTCCTAAGCTCCAAGACAGCTAGGAGAGAACAGGTGACCTTAGCAAGCTTGGCGTTCCTCCTGCCCTCACCTGAGCTCTGGGGCCCTGACGAGGTCCTCATCCAGACTCCTGACAATAATTTCACAACCTCAAACTTCAAGGAGATGTTTGAGTTAGTACTTGAGTTGTTCGAAGTACTGCATATTTAAACTTTTCTATTTTTTCGAATGGGTAACTCATTTGGACGTGTTTCTTGTGAAAGTTTTAATTTAAGGCAAATCAAACAGGAGGTAGAATGACACCTTATCTATGACATTAAATATTAAACGAATTTGGATACCATTAGATATTTGGTATTAATATCTAAATACCATTAGATATTTGGTATTAATATCTAAATACCATTAGATATTTGGTATTAATATCTAAATACCATTAGATATTTGGTATTAATATCTAAATACCATTAGATATTTGGTATTAAACTAATTTTAAGATGTGAAAATATGAATAATATCATCTTGTGCCTGGGATTTGAGAGCACGTAGCGACCGGTAAAATATTAAGATCTTTGTAGACGGTATGTAAGGTTAGATTAGGGAACCAGAACAGAGAAAAAACAAACCATTTTATATTCAGTACCGCAGGACAATGTAAGATAATTGTAGGATGAAAGCTCTAAACCATTCACACCTGAACCCATTCACCTGAACCATCGGGGGATCGAACACGACCTGCAAGAAGCGAGTACGACGCTGTACCGACCAGGGTTCTTCCCTTCTAGGCAGGGCAGGAAACCTTATGAAGGGATCTGTCCTCCCTGGAGACAGGAGCAGTCTTATGAAGAGTTCCTCTCTCTCTCCTGGTGCATTTCAAACTGTCTTTGCTCCAGACTGGCCAGCTATTGCGAGTAGACTGTTCCAGACTGGCCAGCTATGACGGGTAGACTGTTCCAGACTGGCCAGCTATGACGGGTAGACTGTTCCAGACTGGCCAGCTTTGGCGAGTAGGCTGTTCCAGACTGGCAAGCTATTGTGAGTAGACTGTTCCAGACTGGCCAGTTATTGCGAGTAGACTGTTCCAGACTGGCCAGCTATGACGAGTAGACTGTTCCAGACTGGCCAGCTATGGCGATTAGACTGTTCCAGACTGGCCAGCTTTGACGAGTAGGCTGTTCCAGACTGGACAGCTCCAGCAGATTGACTGTTCCATGGGACTGTTCCATGGGTTCATCACTCACATTGGAAAAGTCTTTCCTGTTGGCCAATTTTCACTGTGAGCTGACAATCTTAATGCTGCTGCCTCGCATTAGACTTAGAATATGTTGTTGGGGTATGCGTTGTTTATAAATAATAAATAAATAATTTATAAAATAAAATGAAATAAAATAAATAAATAATAAATATTTTTAGCATCTCTCAAAGCTCAATCTTCACGTGCATTTTTTGATGGACATCTAAATCGTTCCTGGTAAATTGACTAAATAAATATTCTTATGATTTTCGTTGTAATGAGTTTCGTTGAAGTGATTTTACGTTGAAATAAGTTTCGTTGAAGTGATTTTACGTTGAAATAAGTTTCGTTGAAGTGGATTTTCGCTATAATTATTTTCATTGTAATGGTTTTAATTAAAGTTTACTTATTAATGTATAATGCTTTAGGTGATTGCATAATATTCATTGAAATTGCAAAATTTTTATATTCGTTTTTTCTAGGGCAATGGAATTACCAGATGCGTATGAAATGTACCTGGACACGAAGGGGTTGCTGCACAACGCGCCTGCTCCAGGAGTGGAGATTCATTGCATACACGGTGAAGGAATCCCTACAGTGGAAAAGTAGGTGTTTTTGGTTGGATTTTTTGCTTTAAACTTATCAACCTCTTGAGGGTCATTGAAACTACCAAACTAGCTTGCTAAGACCTATCACTCTGGAGGATTGTTCAGCTTGCCACAATATTACTGGTCAAGCGAGAAGTTCGGTGTTGGACTTAAGTCCCATCAACCTCTTGAGGGTTATTAAAGCCTCTACCTTACTGACCAACCAATAAGAATATTTTAATCCAGAACATAGTCCAGGCCTTAAGTCAACTCTCAGTATATATACACTATATATATTTTGCAGCTTCAGTGTTTCACTGATTTGTGTGATCCAATTAAATTATATTTACTTGACACAGCATTTAATTTGATGGTTAATGTGATACTACTTCCCCATAGGATGGTTTACCACGCCGATAGATTCCCGGATTATCCCCACATCGTCTTTGGTGACGGGGACGGCACTGTCAACGCTCGCAGTATGCGCCACTGTCTTAAAGTAAGTTACTTGCTGACTGTCATTAGTGTCAACGCTCGTAGTACCCGCTACTATAAGCGAATTAAGCGTTTCTGGTAGGTCCTTAATTCTAATTCTCCCCGGAATACGACCCGCCAAATCGTTTAAGAACCAAGTACCCATTCACTTCTGGGTGAATAGAGGCTACAGTTAAGGATTGGCGCCCTGTCAATCCTCCCTAGCCAGAATACGAATCCAGGCCAATGCGCTCGCTACGCGCCGGACGAGTGCATTACCACTGCGCTACGGGGCAGATTGACTATGTCATTAGTGGCAAGCTCCCAGTACCCACTACTTTAATAAAGTTACTTGCTGACTATGTCATTGTCCCCGAAGCCTGTGTACATATATACTTTGGCCTTGTATCGAGGTTCCCCCAAGGTGGAACTACTGACCCTCCCCCCAGGATGTATCCCAACATCAGTTGCCTAACACCCAGGTACTTATATTTACTGCTAAGTGAATAGAGGAATTAGGTGACAGGTAATGTGCCCAGCCATTTTTTTTGTCTCGCCCGGAAATCAAACCCAGGCTCCCCGATTGTGAGTCGAGAACGAAGCCAACTGTACTGCTCCTGTTGTTGTTATAGATTCAGCTACTCGGAACAAGTTCCAAGTAGCACGGGCTATGGTGAGTCCGTAATTACTGCTCCTGCTTTAAGGATATTTATTTCATCCAAGCTTTTAAAATACTAAACAAGTTGGAGGATGTTGATCTAGACAACTTCTCCAAAAGGTCAGATGTAACAAACAAGGAACAGTTGGGTCAAACTCAACAAGCCACAATGTAGGACTTGAGAACAAGCGATGCTTTTCACCCACCGGGTTATAAATCCATGGAATCGCCTACCCGCGAAGCCGTAAAAGCCGAAACGCTGTTGAATATTAAAGTACAGTTTGAAAAAGTAATTAGGACAAATTGGGAAGGTGACCCTTTAACAAGCCGCTGGCTTGCTGTCCTCGTCGAGGCCACTAGAGTGTTAGCGACTCTTATTTAGATTTAGATTTGGAGTTTGATTTTTTATTTAGGTAAGGTATATACATTAAAGATGAATTACAAACATAATGTTCGATTTATAGATAGAGCAGTACATACAACACCTAAATCCACTAATACGCATAGCGTTTCGGGCAAGGTGAGGGGGGGGGGGGAACACTTTGACTAAAACTTAATAGTAATTGAGCTTAAAGTATAAATTGTGTTGAAAAAAGGAATAAAAAAAGGGGGGGGGAACATGGCAGAAAATAGCAATTATACAAGTTGATCAACAAACAGCATTGTTTAAAATAGTAAGACGTGGGTTGACATTTAGGGGTAAGGTAGGTTACAAGGAGTTTATTAGGTAGTACTTAGTTTTTATCTTCTTAAACTGGTTGAGAAAGGTACAGCCTTTGACATGACTGGGAAGGTCATTCCACATTCTGGGTCCCTCGAGTTGTAAATCATTTCTAGTTTGATTAAGTCGTACTCTTAGAATATCAAATAGGTATTTGTTTCTGGTGTGGTGCCCATGGGTTTTGTTACAACATTCTAGGAAGCTTTTAAGGTCAGGATTGGCATTACAGTTCACAGTTCTTATTTTTCTTGATGGTACGTGCATTGTGCATGAAGGGTTTATCCACCCGATGGCTGCACGAGTATAAATGTTGGGAAAGGCGTTAATGTTGAGAATGAAGGTTTCAAGGTAAATTCAGGAAAAAACTTGAATAAACATTTAAAGAGGGATGCTTTGCAACAGTTAGCTCTGAAATATCTCGTTTTCTATGACAAAGATTTCTGCTCACATTTTGGAAGGGTAACATATATATATTTTAGAAGATTAAAAATATATAATACACTGTTTTAAAATAGACCATAAATGCACACATAAAATGACAAGAACTCATTCGATTCTACATATGACCTCTACGCTCATACTGCCTCATGTCCCAGTATTCGAGCTTTGCAATCCTGGAGTAGATGGTGTTCCAACGAACACTATATAATATATCGGGGTTGTTTATATTGTTTATATTGGGGATCCTTAACGATCTCCAATAAAAACATTGAGACCTACAGCTGATAAACTGGAAGCCAGCGGTTGGTCAAAGGTCCCACTATTATTCCCGAGGATATTTTCCAACTGAATTTTGAACTGAAGTAAGGTCCTGACATTTACGGCTTCGGCGGGTAAGCGGTTCCACAGGTTTATAATTCTATAGAGGTGAAAAGGCATCTCCTATTTTCTGTCCTATATGGTGGCTTGATGAGCTTGAAGCGGCTCTTCCTTGTATGTTACATTTGACATTTTTAAAGAAATAGCTTGGTAGGGTACCAGAGGTCAGGAAGCACTTCTTAAGATATCACAACGTCACAAAAATGATGTACTAAATTGCCCGACCCTAACCGAGGACCCACCAAGAGGAAAGTGACAACCCGTCAATTTTGCGATTTATTGTACATAAAAATATGATGTCGCTATGATTTACAGTACATCATATTTCGGTCGTTATTTATATGTCAAAATGCCATGTTCGATTCGAGAGGACAGGTTTCTACACTGCCAATTAACACTGATGTTCCACAGGGTTGTATCCCGCCTCTAAGCTGTATTGATTGACAGTTGAGAGGCGGGCCGAAAGAGCAAAGCTGAACCCCCGCAAACACAACTAGGTGAATACTTGGTCCACTCCTCTTTTATCTCACATATTATTATAACGACGTGTTAAATCAATATTTTCTTAGTTTATGCATCATTCTATTCATTAAATATGTTTTACGAGCCCATTGTAACTCACTTGTCATCATTCTAAATGTCTTTGTCGCTGCTCAACATACTTTACGATACTTGTAAGATCCATATGTGTCTTACTGTGGAATTGTTGATATATAACAACCCGAAAAGAAAACTGCCCGAAACGCTATGCGTGTTAGTGGCTATGGAAGAATGTAAGAACATCAGTGTACTCTCACAACCCAGTGTTCCTTCTTATAAATAAATAAATAAATAAAATAAAATAAAATAAATAAATAACACCATTCAGGTGTCTGCGGGAACATGAGAATTTAGCAGGCGCGGAAGTCGCTTTACTCCAAATGTAATTAATAAATTTATATCTAACTCTTAAATGCGTGATATACGATATTCACCAACACAATGAAGAAGAAACTAGTCTGCCATTTACATGAATGTCTTATAACGGTCCTGTAAAACTAATCTAATACGCATAATTTGTCATTGTTTCAGTGGGTGAATGAGCAGGAGCAGAAAATTTATCACGTGCCGATGCCTAACATAGACCACATGGATATCATCAAGGTAGAACCCAGTCTCGGTTACCTCGTCAATTTACTCAGCACCATCACAAGAAGAAATGAGCAACGAGCTGGCGAGAAAATGGAGAATTTTATCCAAAGTGAGAAGAGAAAGGAGAGAATTCTTAATTTAATTCTCGTTTAGCAGTCTCCGTGGTGTAGTGGTAAGACACTCGCCTGGCGTTCCGCGAGCGCTATGTCATGGGTTCGTATCCTGGCCGGGGAGGATTTACTGGGCGCAATTCCTTAACTGTAGCCTCTGTTTAACGCAACAGTAAAATGTGTATTTGGATGAAAAAACGATTCTTCGCGGCAGGGGATCGTATTCCAGGGACCATAGGATTAAGGACTTGCCCGAAACGCTACGCGTACTAGTGGCTGTACAAGAATGTAACAACTCTTGTATATATCTCAAAAAAAAAAAAAAAAAAAAAAAAATAATGAAATATCCAGGTTTAGGCGAGGCTACCCAAGCCGCGCGTGAACCAGTGGTAGACCAAACACACCGGGATAACACCTCTTTAGAAAGCGGGGATATTAGTCAGATAAGAGTACAACTCGACGAAACTCCCTCATTGGTGACTGGATTTTAAATATGGAAGAAGCAGTATAAAGACTGTCGTCTCCCACTGCAAGAGTCAACATTACATACCTGTAATTATTATAGATTATCACGTTTCACGGTATCTTACTTTTAAGCGATTTATTATAGGTTCTAATGTATTTCCATGTGTATTTCATGTATTATTTCAATTTTATATATAAATGACTGTGTACGACAGTATAGGGTTTTTCATTTTACGTAGACAGAACTAATTAATGCTTTCTTGGAATGATATATATTAAGAGTATTGACTGAGGGAAATAATATTTAAAAAATATTCGACGCTTTTTACATGTGCCATCGCTCGCTAGTGTTTTTTTCTTGAATATTATGAACGTTTTACTCCTCTCAAGGCACAAATCACTGTTAATAATAGCTCTCCTAGTAATAGCAGGTCAGTATAGGCCAATTGAAACATATGTCTCTTCCCATTGGCCACTGTTAATTACTCCCACTCAATATTGCTGGGTCAGTTGGCCAACTAGAATGTATGTGCCATGTCATTCTTTACTGTTAACCCTTCGACTGCGCAAATCTAAACAACTTTAAACAATTAGAATTGGTATTCCTATTTTTTCTAAATGTAAGTTAAAATTAGCTAAACATTTTATTTTGTAATGCATAAATTTTCTTGGATATGTAGAATTTCATTGTAATGAGAACATTGTTAGTTGTTTTAAAATCTTTAAACAGCTCTTATTTTTTAATTATCTTTTATTGCAACATTTATGTGAAAACGTATATATATATTTATATATATATATTTATATATATATGTATATATATATATATATATATATATATATATATATATATATATATATATATATATATATATATATATATATATATATATATATATATATATATATATATATACATATATTATATGTGTGTGTGTGTGTCACGAAAATTAACACGTGATGAAGAATGTGACAGTGTCAGACCACGAAAGAAAAATTGAAACAGGAATTTCCCTAAGTACTTTCGTATTTAATAATACATCTTCAGAGTGAAGATATATTATTAAATACGAAAGTACTTAAGAAAATTCCTGTTTCAATTTTTCCTTCGTGATCTGACACTGTCATATATATTTATATTTTTATATATGTCATACTTAATAGCCAGAACACACTACTTGGCCAAGTATGCAAGGCTCAATTTGCCTAACAGGCAGGTAATTTTTGTTATTTTTAAATATTTCCTTTCAAATTGTTTATTTGAATTAATATTATTATATTAATAAACAATTTGAAAATAAATATTGTGACTAAGTGGCAGTGACTTTGTTATGTTAAGGTTAGCATAGGGTAAGTTAGGTTTAATCTAATTTCTGTTAATTTTAACTTAAATTTAAAAATAATTTAAATCATTTATAATATTTTAGCTGAAAGCTTTTTCATTCCATAACAAAAAATGTGAAATATATATTATTTCAAGAAAACTCGGCTTGTTAGGCAACTTGGCCTATAAAGAACAACATATATATATATATATATATATATATATATATATATATATATATATATATATATATATATATATATATATATATATATATATATATATATATATATGAATATGTATGTTATATAGTTATACTTAATAGCCAGAACGCACTACTTGGCCTAGTATGCAATGCTCAATTTGCTTAACAGGCAAGTGATTTTTGTTATTTAAAAAATATACAGTATATATATATATATACTGTATATATATTTATATATATATATGATGGCACAATGAGTAACACTGTGCCGGCACCTCCTGCACTGTTGTAAGCGTTGACTTGAATCTTTTTACATTTGGGACTCAAATAATGAATTCATTTTTTTTAATACACTACTTAGGTATTTTCTCTATATATATTGAATTTGTCCGTTTCTTTTATGGGTGTCACACATTATGGTCCAACTCTGTGATCAGCTACTTGGGAATAATAAAGATGTGGCTGGTATACTATTATGTATCACGTTCAATTATACGACTTTTACAGCGATGCCTTTCATTAGTTCCTTTGTGTAGCCGATTCACGTCTGTATGATTTGACAACTTTGTTATTGTTGTTGCTTTGTGGCCGATAGTTTCCCATCGAGCAAAATTTGCATAGGATAGTATTTATCAATGTTTATTGTTTATTCAATATCATATCAACGTTGTTTGCACCTCTAGGTGCCCACTAGTTATCCGAATTCGAAAAATACCGGAAGGGTGGGTGGGGGGGGGGGGGGGGTTAGGTGCCCCTTCACAGCCTCCTAATATATATACTGTATATATATATATATATATTATATATATATATATTATATATATATATATATATATATATATATATATATATATATATATATATATATATATATATATATATATATATATATATATATATATATATAGAATGGGGGTCGTAGGAGAAGATAATATTAGTGTTCAGTGAGATACCACAAGGTCTCCTCTGAATACTTTTTATTTTCTTCTCCGAGGCTATGGGTCCCCACATTGGCACCAGAGGTGGTACCCTCACAAACTTTTATATATATATATATATATATATATATATATATATATATATATATATATATATATATATATATATATATATATATATATATATATATATATATATATATATATATATGCGTGCGAGAAAAAGTGGATATTGTGAGGAATCACAGCAATGACATACAAATTACCATGCACGGCCAATAGCGTTTAAAATTCATCATGGACAGAAGCACAGTTCATTCTTCTTTTTTTCGAGAGAGATGTGTGTGTGTAGCTAAACTTACAACGTGCGTACACACGAACATGTACACTAGCATGCTTATATCCTCAGCAGTCCGATCTTGTGACTGGACAATTCAAGAACCTAAACAACCCACCTAACCCATCGAGGTCGATGCTCATTTATCCAAAGAAGCGTCACGGGATAAGGTGTATTAAGTGTGAGGACAGGATGTACTAGCCTAACACGCACACTCCCAAGCACCAATAATGTACGCAGTTAGGCTCCAGTGCAAAGACTTATCACACAGTACCGCCATGGCTCTACTATACGTCCTTCCCTTGACCCACATACAGTGCCGGGTCTTGCTAAATTTGTTTCTTTAAATGTCTCTCAAAATTTGTTAAGATAAATACATTAGCGATGGAGAATGTGATTTTGCATTTGTTAATATTCTTATTTCATCCAGTCCTCAGGCCAGGCTCGTTAAAGCTGCGGCCGTCCCCCAATATGAATCATCAATTATAACGTACTGTGTATTAAAAAATTGTTTCTTCTCATTTATATATTAGTATTATTATATATTAAAGTTCAATGTATACTTAAGCGTAGGTTAAGTTAGGTGTTTCGGATCGATTGGCGATTATTTGTATTTGAAGTACATGGGTGAAATTAAGCATTTACTAAATTGCGATTCGAAAAGAGGTCGTCAGCGAAGCACTGCTCAACAAACGAACATACGTCATCAGTGGTGAGTCGTCTGTAAACAGTTTTTCATTCACAAACAGGGGGACGGGGTTGCGGTTAAATTAACGAGCGTTTCGCCTTTGTTGATGAGGACATAGTGCCTAATCTGATTATGTTCGAAACTATGGATCGGAGCGTGGTTCATTCCACTCCAAGTATATTCTGCCGTCAGTCCTCATTAACAAAGGTTAAATGCTGGTTAATGGGTACCAAGTGGTGCCCGGGTCTCTCTCTCTGTCTCTCTGTCTCTCTTTTTTTTTTCTCTCTCTCTCTCTCTCTCTCTCTCTCTCTCTCTCTCTCTCTCTCTCTCTCTCTCTCTCTCTCTCTCTCTCTTCGAGTCTTCGAGTTCGAGTGACTCGAACCCATACTCCCAGAAGCAACGCAACTGGTATGTACAAGACGCCTTAATCCACTTGACCATCACGACCGGACAAAATGAGGTGATAGCCGAGGCTATTTGAACCACTCCACCGCCGGCACTCGGATAGTTATCTTGGGCATAGCATTTTACCAAATCACCTCATTCTTAGGGGCACACGTGAGGAACACAAATGCGAACAAGCCAGAATGGTCCCCTGGACAATATGCAACTGAAAACTCACACCCCAGAAGTGACTCGAACCCATACTCCCAGAAGCAACGCAACTGGTATGTACAAGACGCCTTAATCCACTTGACCATCACGACCGGACAAAATGAGGTGATAGCCGAGGCTATTTGAACCACCCCACCGCCGGCACTCGGATAGTTATCTTGGGCATAGCATTTTACCAAAACACCTCATTCTTAGGGGCACACGTGAGGAACACAAATGCGAACAAGCCAGAATGGTCCCCTGGACAATATGCAACTGAAAACTCACACCCCAGAAGTGACTCGAACCCATACTCCCAGAAGCAACGCAACTGGTATGTACAAGACGCCTTAATCCACTTGACCATCACGACCGGACAAAATGAGGTGATAGCCGAGGCTATTTGAACCACCCCACCGCCGGCACTCGGATAGTTATCTTGGGCATAGCATTTTACCAAATCACCTCATTCTTAGGGGCACACGTGAGGAA